TTATGTTTCTAAGCTTTTCTGGGAATAGAGTCCTTAGCTTGTCAAATACTACTTGTAAAAGTGCTTGCAGATCTTTCAAAAAAAAAAAAAGGTGCAGTGGGTTAAGCTGCTGCCTGCAGTGCCAGCATCCCCTGTGGGCTGCTCTACTTCCCTTCCAGCTCCCTGCTACTGCACCTGGGAAAGCAGCAGAGATGGCCCAGGGGGAGACCCACGGGGGAGACCCAGAAGAAGCTGCTGGCTCCTGGCTTCGTGGGAGCCCAACCTCAACCATCGTGGCCATTTGGGGAGCGAACCAGTGGATGGAAGGTCTCTCTCTCATCTCTCTTTGTAACGCTGCCTTTCTAATAAATAAAACTTAAAAAAAAAAAAAAACAAGACACCCTAGACACCACACTCTCATTATTACTCGTCCACCTCAGCATTTATGACCACTATCTCTTGTTTACTTTCAAACTTGGAAAATTCATTACTCATTCTGATTCTACCAGAACTCCTGAATTTAGAGAATTTGGAAGCGGCTATTGCTATTAAGGACATTTTTATTTTATATCTGTTGCTCCTGCCCCCAAAGAGAGTGTTCTAAGTTCCTCTGTCATGCACATTTATGTAATTCTTATCTAATCCTGGTTTTGGCCAAGACCAGTCATCAGGAAGACAGCGGTCCCAGCAGGGAGAGATGGGTTACAGAACTGCTTTTCCTTTCCGAAAAGAAGCGCTAGAAAACTGGCAGTGACATTGCTTTAGGAGTTGCCTGGTAACCTACGGGTAATCATTAACTATTTGTTACATAAGTGAGTAAAATTCTGGGATGCCAATAATGTGTACCTGTAACAATCCCACTGATATCATTTTTTAAAAAGATTTATTTATTTATTTGAAAGTCAGAGTTACACTGAGAGAGGAGAGGCAGAGAGAGAGATCTTCTATCCAATGGTTCACTCCCTAATTGGCCACAATGGCCGGAGCTGTGCCAATCCGAAGCCAGGAACCAGGAGTCAGGAGCTTCTTCCGGGTCTCCCACATGGGTGCAAGGACCCAAGGGCTTGGGCCATCTTCCACTGCTTTCCCAGGCCATAGCAGAGAGCTGGATTGGAAGTGGAGCAGCCGGGATTCAAATGGGCACCCATATGGGATGTCAGCACTGCAGGCAGTGGCTTTACCCACCACGCCAGTGGCCGGTCCCTGATATCATTTTGAAATGCTAGTAATCACTGGTTAAAACATAATTATAGTTGGAATATATATACAATCTAATAATTTGAGAATATTTTGTGTATATATAAAGTATCATGGTTTTTTTTTAAAGATTATTTATTTATTTGAAAGGCAGAGTTGCAGAGAGACAGAGGCAGAAAGATAGAGAGGTCTTCCATTTGCTGGTTCGCTCCCCAAATGGCCACAACGGCCAGAGCTGGGCCGATCTGATGCCACAAGCCTGGAGCTTCTTCTGGGTCTCCCATATGGGTGCAGGACTCCAAGCACGTGGGCCATCTTCCATTGCTTTCCCAGGCGCTTTAGCAGAGAGCTGAATTGGAAATGGAGCATCCAGGACTCAAAGTGGCACCCCTGGGATGTTGGCACTGCAGGTGGTGGCTTTACCTGCTACACCACAGCCCCAGCACCACCAAGTGTTTTTGTTTGTTTGTTTGTTTTTTAAGATTTATTTGAAAGGCAGAGATATAGAGAGGGAGGGACAGAGAGAAAACACAGAGGGAGACCTTCTATCCTCTGGTTCACTCCCTAAATGGCTGCTGCGGCCTGGGCTGCAAGAGGCCAAGGCAAGGAGCCAGGAACTCTATCCGGGCCTTGCACGTGGGTGCAGGGCCCAGGCACTTGGGCCACCTTCAGCTGCTTTCCCAGGCACGTCAGCGGGCAGCTAGATCAGAAGTGGAGCCACTGGGCTTGAGTCAGTGCTCACATCAGTACTGGCATCGCAGGCGGCAGCTCCACCTGCTACGTCACAGGGCCAGCCCCACGTACCAAATGTAATCTTCTTTTGTGCGTGATTATAACGATTGCATTTTTAATGAAAAATAGCCTTTATTGTATTCTGTTATTACAAAAACAATACATAGGACTCACATATTTTAGCATTGATTTTATTTATCCAGGAGGTAAACTTTTCTGCAAAGAAATACATCTCCTGGCTCATAATAAAAATCCATGAGAAAAAAGTATTCAAAAAACCCTACTGTGCCTTAACACAGTTATTATTACCCTTTTAGAGAAGATGATATCCTATTTTGGAAATTTAACTTAAGGTGATACCATGGACATCATTAGACATAAAAGTTCAGGCCACCTACATTTCTACCAAAAAACTGACAACATAAATTACATTACATTCTGGTTAAATACATGCAAATGCTAATATGAGGACTTAAAAATGCCTTACACAGATAGAATAAATAATGAAAAAATGTTTTTTTTTTCTGATCACCAAAAGATAGCGCAGACAGATGCAGAGGGAGACCTGCGCCACAAGAAGCAAATCTGTACAGCACAGCGCGCTGCAAGCAGCCAGGTGAGCCGCCGTGCAGAGCTGGGTGAGGAGCCCGTCGGGGGCAGCTCTGTGCGTGGGAAAGCAGCTCCCAGCTGCCGGCTGCTGAACTGCCCGCAGCCCAGCTCTCTGCCTCGTGTCACCCACAGCACGGAAGAACCGCCTGGGGAAAGCCGCGCTGCACGGCCTGAGTTGCTACTCGCTCTCTTGCCCAGTATGTGGGCATCAGAGTGAAAGGCAAAAAAAATTAAAGCTAAAAATGCATTATTCTTAAAAAAAAAAAAAAAAAAAGGTTTTGCTTGCAAGATGTAATATCCTTCAGGGATTGCACACCCTGCATCCAGAGCAGTGACAGGAAACCACTCCCAGAGACAGCTTTGTACATCTGACAGTCACTGGCCTGGGGAACAGCCCGGCGCCTGTAAGGGAGACCAAATGCCCAACGCTTGGAGGCCTCGGCTCTCCTCCTGCTCCTGCGAAGTCCCACGCGGGAGACAGGTGCCCGTAAGAATGACAACTAGCCAAGACAGAAGCATCCTAAGACACTGCCCTCATGGGCACGGCTTTCTCAGAGACCACGCCACGGTGACAGACCGTACAGAGGCACGTGTCTCCGTGCATCTGTGTGAAGCCAGAAACTCTCCCTAGCAGAGCTGACTGCGGAGGAGCTGTCCTTATTTCTTTGGGTGATGCCAACAGAGCCCTACTCTTCTCTCTGGTCTTCATCGGAAGGAAACACGGTAGCTACCAAAGAGAACTCAGATGGGCACCCACGTGAGGGATCTTGCATCCAGAGTCCGCCCTGAAAACTCTGTGAATGAAAAGGGTGCTACTGGCACTGCCTCCTCCATCGCTGCCGAAGACGGAACTTCTGACACCTCCATTCACCTGCTGGGCGTCTCCTGTCCAGTGTGGCACCAGGTGACTGCCAGGGCTCTAGCCTGCTCTCCCAGGATGGCCACAGAGGCCAGCTCTGTGCCTGGACAAGCTTCCCTGGAGTTCCGTCCTCACTCTTGCAAACCGTATCTGAAGAGGTGCATGTGCACTGTGGGGAGGCAGTCACAGCAAGGAGGGAAAATGCCTGAAATGAACAAGATAGGCCGACGTGGGCCAACCCAGCAGAGAGATGATAAAAACTACATGGTTCGGGCTGGCAGATGTTTCGAGGCACAGGGAAGTTAAGTGTCAGTGTTAACTGATATTCCCGCTGGGCATGAGGGGAAGAAATGCGGTGACTGTTTTCTTGCGCCTTATTTTGGTGGCGCCCAAAGCTGAATCCCCACTGAGCTTCCTGTCCTAGTCTCTGTGGAGCTGACATCCCAGCTTTCCAGTAGATGCCCGTCCCTCGGAGAGGTCTGGCCTCAGCCTCCACATCAGGAGGACAGCGATGTGGGGGACGCCACGGAGGGGGCTCTATGCACAGCCATTCGCTGCTACCTACGGGTCAGAAGGAAGAGAAGCAGAGCCATTATGTCCCAGACAGCAGATGAACCAAGAAAAGTAGAGAAGCCCTCCCCGCCTTTCCGCTGCTCCCCGCGCCGCTGACCCCCATATCCACACCCACGCATGGACACTGGGGAGTCAGGTAAACTCGGCTTCTCTCCCTGAGAAGCTGACCTCGTGAGACCTGGACCACTAGCTACGTACCCAAGCTATGAAACCGAAGTAGCCAGGACCCCGGCAGTAAAGGGAGAATGTGTTGGCAACATCAGCCAAAGACCACGCCACAAGAGTGACACTGCAGCCCGGGGCTACTTGGCCTCCGAGAGGGTCCCTGCCGGGGCAGCTATCCCAGTCCTGCTCTGAAGTCAGGGATCAGAGCAGAGCAACTTCCTCCCATTCACTGAGACTTAACGTTCTGCCTCGTGAGAAATTCTTCCCCCTAGAACGGTGCTCCCCCAGTGCTGAATGTACATAGGAACCACCTCGTGACCCTGCTAGCAGGAAGACTTGGGCTCAGCGGGTCTGGCCTGGAGCCTGCGGTTCTGCTTTTCTCACGAGTTCCTGGTCCACGTTAGGGTTCAAGGACTCAGGCCTGAGAATGCTGCAACAGTCCCACCTGCGCACTCTCCCGTCCCAGAAGACGCAAACACTGCTCTACACATGGACTACAAGCCCTTTACAAAACAGCAGGCAAGCTGTATTTTAGAAGCAACAGCCCAATACATTTTCAAAGTTCTCCAGTGTTTTCCTTTGTACTAGATAACATGAATTACATGTCACTAATGGGACTTAGAGTACAGTGTGGTCAAATGTAGTTTGTAATTCTTATAGAGGCGCCAATAGGTGCACACAAGTACACCACGTTTTCTTCCATGATGTCCTTCCCATCTCCCCCAGAAGGTGGTGGAAGTGAGCCGTGCCTATGCCATGGACTCACACTGAAGTGGGTTTGCCCAAGTCTCGCTGTGCAACAAGAGGCAAAGTTTTAGGGGGAAGGGGGATGGTAGGGAACAGAACCCAAAACACAAAACAAAAAACCCAGGAGCCTTCTGAAATGTTCAAGTTACTCAACAATTTTATTTGCCCAGTCTACACACATACGCGCACACGCGCACACACACACACAAAGCACATTTCAAATACAGTTGTACACGCCTCTGGTGAATTTTCTCATCAGTGTCACCAATTAAATCAGAACAGCACTACAGATTTACATTCTCACTGTCAACAGAGCAGTGCCTAGGGAACCACAGCAGAACTTTGTTCCTGGCTTCCCAGTGCAGCCCATCCCCATCCAACCCAGGGACCTCAGCCCTCCCTCACTCCCACCTCCCTCCAAAGGGCACTGCTTGTGATCAGTCCTTTGCTGTTGCCACAGTAAAATCATCACCATATCAGAATGAGTTAATTGTCTTACTTCAATAGCAAACAAAATATATACAACAAATCAGATACAATCACATTGAAAGTAGGTAGATATTGGCCACTGATATCCAGTAAGAGACTGACTGGAAAGAACACATTTACCCACATTTACCCACCCATTTCTTCATCACAAAATCTCCTCTGTATTTCTATTTATCAGATTAGGAATAAAAGCCAAGTTCACAGCAGACAAAAACAGCACCACTACCCAGGGGAATGCGACACTCCTCAACAGAGTCAGCTGCAGGCATAGAAGGTTCAGAAACAGATGGTGACACAAAGCCCTGCCCTGAAGGGGACTGGGTGAGTACATGTCACAACTTCAGGCTCTGAACACACGTTCCCTCGGATGAGTTCACAAAATACCATTCCAGTGATACTCAACCATCATCTTTTACAAAATGATGAGAATTTGGCTGCTACTGGACAAGAAATGTCTATTAATATTAAAACCAGAGTGTAGAGAATTTCCCTAAAAAGAGAAAGCATGGCGTGTTGAATCTTTTCTTTATAGACAGGTGCTGTAGACCGAGAATTACGATGCCGCACGTACACCACCAAGCTACAATCAGAAAGCAGGTGGACTGCTGGCTTATGGACCCTGTGAGCCTATCAGCTGGCACACACACCCCTAGAGTCCATCACAGAGGATGTACAGATCCTGGGGACTGGGAGTCTAAGAGTAAATTCTTGGGCACACGTCTGAAGTCTGTGCCATGGCCAGGAGAAGCCAAAGAGCCCACCAATGCTGCAAACGGACTCAGTTGTTACATATTTTAAAATTTCTGCTTAAAAATTTTTATTTATTTATTTGAAAGTTGGGAGGGGGGGAGGTAGAGATCTTCTATCCACTGGTTCACTCCTCAAATGCCTGAAACAGCCTGGGTTGGGCCAGACCACTGCCAGAAGCCAGAAGTTCCCTCCATCCAAGTCTCCCGCATGGGTGGCAGGAACCCAGGTACTTGGGCCATCATTCTCTGCCTCCCAGGCACACTAGCAGGGAGCCGGATCAGAAGTATGGAGTAGCTGGGACTTGAACCAGGCACTGCAGGATGGGATGGAGGCATCCCAAGGAGGGCAACCCTCTGTGAACACCTATTCTTGCTATACATTAAAAAAAAAAAAAAAAAAAAAAAAAAGTATTTCCAAATACAAGCAAGCCAAAATGCACACTAGGAAAGCTGTGTAAATCTATCCAATTTCTTGACAGCAATACAACACAGCTTTTGGACTTGGCAAAGACAGTAGAACTTTCCTAAGATCCCCTCACCCACATACACTTCTCACAGTTACTGAGTGTGCTTCCCTTGTCCTCGGGCTAAGCACCACTGTTTCCTGATCACTCCGGAATCCTGCTCACAGGAAAACCACAAGGTGGCTTTATTCCCAAACAGCTGTGCCAAATGTTCCCTCCAAACCTCACCACCTCTGAACATCAAGTGTGGCTTGCAAGGGTCTGCCCCTGATCTCACACGAGCAGTCAAGAAGCCAGAGAATGAATGGGGCATATCATCCCCAGCACTGCATGTTTTTAAAAGATCTTTCTTCTATTTTTTCAACTACCCCTTTATCAAAACAACAGATAACAGAGATAAAAAGTAAGTGCTAAATTCCAACTGGAAGATGAGGAGGCCGGAATGGGAAGTGGCTGCCTGAGCTGCTGCTTTCAAATCTGCCAGGAATTTCCTCAATCAGCTTTGAGAGCAAGAGAACACACACACACACACACACACACACACAAATAACAACATGATTTCCTTTCCCTATTTTACATCAGTAGATTAAATGCTGAAGTCTTCACCGGTTTCCTATTTAACAGAACTCAGCACATCAGCAAAGGGTGGTGTGGGGTCCACCCTTTCCCTGTTGAACTTGGGGTTGAGACAAGCACAGCAAGGTGCGTACACCATGAGTACACATTCAAGAAAGCAGGGGAGAGGATGGGAGAGCACAGACGGCAAGCAGGCTGTCTCTAAAGCTTGGAATCAGAGCTCGCGCCCTCTATTTTCCTGATGAACTTCTCTGAGGGCTCTTAGCTCTAAAGCCTGAAAGACGCTGAAACCCTTGTGGTTGTCAAATTCCAGTTGCTCGTGTCCTATCTGAGGGCAGTAAGACCACCTCAGCTCCTGCGGGGGAAACAGACCAGCAAGGGGGCCAGGGAGAGTGGAAACACAATCAGCAGGCTGAGAGCCAGAGTGAACGTTCCCTGGACCTGTCTCCAGTGCCGGGGCTTTAACAGGCTAACAGGGTGCTACTTCACCACAAATCCCCTCTCCTTCATGGTGAGTGTAGCCAAATCCAGGGTCTTGAGATCACCGAGTTCCAGCTTCTCACTCTACTCTCACCTCCCAGCACGAGGAAAGGCTGAATCGTGCCATGTGGGCCACAGATGCCACCACCCAAGCACAGCAGACAAGGCAACCTTGAAACATGCTGCAGGCACTGACCTGCCAGACCCCACTGCAGAACCCCTCCCAGACCCCGTCTCCCAGCAGCCCCAGGACAGGAGAAAAGCGAGGAAGAGCAATCTGCTCTCCACTGCCCCTTCTCTCTACACTCGGAGCTCTCTCCGGCAAGTGCTCACTGGTTATACAGGTCCTGCTTCCCAGGACAAGGACCCGTTCTACTACTTCCCTGTGTCCTTCCCCCACCCAGCTCAAAGCCCCAAAAGCAAAGACACTAAACAAACCCACCCCCCCAACGCTGCCAAAACCAACGCCACTAAAGACAATGTGTGACGGCAGGTGACTGTCCCGGACACAACTGCAGGAAGAATCTAGCCCCCCGAGTGTGGACACTGGCTGCGGGATTCTACTGGACACGTAAGAGCAAAGGGCTCAAGGTCAGCAGTCAGCTCCCGGTGCTGCCGACTTTCATCACTGGTGCCCCTCTCCAAGGTGCTTAAAACCCTCAGCTTTCAACCAAAGACATTTATTCAATCCAGTGATTTCTTTTAATTACCCTGCAAAGTAAAGTGTCAGAGATGGGACAAGAGCCTGGAACAAGCCTTTAATAAAAAGGGTTGTTTGAAGCAGCCTGCCTTCGAGGGGGTGACTTCATCTCAAACTGTCAAGTGCTCAAACATCTAACTGCACAGAACTGTCCTTTCAGAACCAGGAGGCAATTCAGAACTCGGAGGCTGACACTTTGCCCGAGTGTTTTCCCACCCAAGTTGATAGGGTGGAGCTACTGGGAATGAATCAGAATCATCAGGGAAGCATAGAAACACCACATGTCCAGACTCCAAGCTAGACGCAGTGAGCCACTACTGAGCCTGACCCAGGTGGACCCAGACACGTGTCCCAAAGTTCTAAAGAGCTCTCTAAAGAACACTACGGGTGAGAACCAAGACCAGTCTTCTATTACCAAACACGACTGTCCTCGGAAAATTGATGACTTCCTCTAAAAGACAAATTCATAACTTTGCAGTGAGGAGCCACCCATCTTTTTAAAAAAGTCTCATGAGAACTCTAGACTTGCCTCTCAGCAAAATATACATATCCACATTCATACATTTTCTACTCCACTGGGACTGAGAGAAAGCCATTATTGGCCACGAAGGGACTATGAATTTAAATATTTCCTGTCTAACCCTACAAAGAAAATGACAGAAGTGAACAAATAAAAAGAGTCAGACTTCAGTGTGCCAAGGACTCCTCTGGACACTAAGATGAGATAGATTCTCCTTATGAACAAGGAATATTCTAAATGAGAGATTAAACTCTGATCAAGCTTTTTCCACATTTGGGGGGAAAAAAGGTTGCTCCTGGAGGGGCGGGGGGAAGAGCAGCTTTTTTTTTAAGTTAAGGAGGCTGTGCTGAAAATGATAGGAAATGGGGCCCTTCAGACCTCGGCACAACTCAAGAAGAACAGGACACAGGCTTTGGCATGGAATCTGCTGTGACTGGCACAGAACCTGAGCACCTCAGAAGAGGAGAGCAGTGCTCCAGGAAGTGCTGTGTGAGAGCTGGAGACCGCCCTGCTGGCCCAGCCCACCCTGCAGTAACAGACGATCTACTCTGGGCTCTTCAAGCTAGAACACACCAAGATGTCATCCCGCCCCCAGAGCCAGCTCCTCTCACAGCATCAGAAACAGGATCATTCCTTCGGAAAGGAGGCCAGAACTCTCACTCTATGTGTACTTGCAAGCTCCAGAGAATTCTCTGGGTGACTGCAGCCTGGGCTGACCCTTACAGGACCTGGCTGGAGAGGAAGGGAGAAGGCAAAGGAGAGTCTCCCCGAGTCCTGATCCCTTCAGGCCCATGGGAGAAGGCAGCGTCGGGGCCTAGCCTTCTCCTTCGCCAACCACCCCTCCTTGCCAGACACCAACACCGGACAAGCCACGGGTGAGCTGGAAGAGGAGAACAATCAAGCGAAGACTATGAAGGAAACACACATTCCAGAGACAAAGGCGAAGGAGAAATGGGCTTTCGTGTCTCCCTGCACTTACCTGCCACTGTCACAGCACCAGGACGGTGGGGAGTTGGACACGAGAGAGAAAGGAGCAGGTGTAGGGGCGTGCTTGGCCCCGGGAGAGTGTATCCTGTTCCTCCTCCTCCAGACCACCCCAGCTGAGCGCCTATCCTAAAAGACCCAACCTGCCAAGCTGCCCCTGAGCGAGGCCGTCGACGGAAGCTGGTCCACAACACAGACCCAGGATCTGTGTTCAGATTAATGGTGAAGTGGCAGGGCGCAGGTGATTAGTGACAGGGGCAGGAGGCCAGGGCGGAGGGACACACACGGTTACACCACCGGAATGCTGACTTGGGTCTTCGGCTGGTCGGCCCCTTCTTGCACGTCCAGGGCACGAAGAGGGCTGAGGGGCTTGAGGGGCCGGCTCCCAACACTGTAATTTCTTGGACGCCTGATTGTATTCGAACTGGACAGAGGCGTAAAGCTGTTCCTTCTCATCCTTACAGGGGTTTGGTTCTTGGGGAAGTTGTTCTGATTGGAAATGGAGGGACACCACACAGATGAAAGCCAAACCAAAAGCTCACTTGCACAGGCTGAACACTGCCTGCAGCCACACAGCTTCCTCCACTCCTGCTGCTCCACATGCAGGGACACAGCCTGATCCCCAGCCCCTGGGAGCTAAAAGCGTTGCAGGGGGAAAAGCTCCTTGAGCCCCACACCCCAAAGCATGGAGAGTGGCTCCAAGGAAGGGGCTTATTGAAGATAACGCAGATCCCCAGGGGCGGAGCTAGGATCAGACCTAAACCTCGTGACCCGACCGCATTGGCTCCTGTGGGCCCTGCTTTCTAAAGGGAAACCTGGGGGTGGGGGAAGGGGCGATGTTTGTATTTTATTTCAGCCAAATATTTTCATATTTAACTGACCTCCTTAGGAGCCAGATTTCAAGGTTAATTCATGAAAGAGAGATAACTTTAAAACATGGAATCTCAACATCTCTTCCTTTGGGAAGTCAGCAGACCCTCTAGGCCGTGAGATCTGCATGTTTTCCTTTTGTACAGTCTCTTGGTACCAAAGGTTCAAAGACGCAAGGGAACGGGAACGTGGCAAGTGCATCCATGGGAAAATACTTACAGTGGGCTTGTCACGGTGAGTGTTCACGGCCTCCACGTTGAGTTTAATTGTTTCTACTTTACACCCTAACAAAACAGAGGAAAGAGAAGAAGCCTTCAGGCAAAAACACTCTATGAAAAACTCCTGGGTTTCAGTTTGGGAAAGCACACCATGGAGGTATGCGTGCATTCCCAAACACAGGCGCCCATCGACCCCTTCAAAGATGGAGGGTGCCGAGGGAACTTCCCTGAGATGCACGGGACGACGCGGAACTTCTGGGCCACCTTCAGAGAAAACTCAAGCATCCTGACCTGCGCCAGTCCCCACCTTGTGCCAGCCCCACGCCCATAGTTACCGTAGGCCACTGGAGTGAGTTTGAAGATGGTATGGAGAGGGCACTTCAAGTACGGCAGTTCATCTGAAAGCAGAGAGACCAGGTGAGGGGTCTCCTACACTGCAGAGTGAGGTCAAGGTAACGGAGATGGGTCTGCAGCGTGCGTGAGCTTTCTTCACCCTGACCGCCACCGGCAGTGGCACACGTGCTCCCCTAGTCCCCAGACGCTCAGCAAGACCACAGAAGCCACCAAACTCCTGAGGAAATTGGACCATTTTAGATCCTTCCAGGTAGACAAAACAGTGCAGCAGCCAGGGCCCCACGGGAGGGGAGACTTGGGCCCTCGGGTATGCGAAGGCCGCCTGCAGGCTTCCCAGCAGGTCAGGTGGATCCGGCAGGAAAGCAACACTTCCTCACGGCTCTGACCAGACGCCAGCGCCCCAACCCAAGGAACAGAGATGCTTCCAAGAGACCACCCTCCCACGGCCACGGGGCCAAGCTGCGAACGTTCAGCTCGACACAGGCCTTTCAGACAGACGGGGCCAACGAGCAGCGCGGTGGCAGCACCCGCAGGTCCCCTGGGGGTTTTGAGGCAGCAGAGCGAATTCAAGTAGGCAACGCCACAGCTGCTGGGAGCCCACACGGCTGCCTGGAGAATGCACCCTAATTTGAGTGGAAGAAAGAGAAAGAGTTGCAGTAAGCCCGGCCCCTCTCTCTGCCTGTGTCCCCAGCCCCCCAACTCAGCTGGTACCTGCGCCCTTGTCCAGGAAGTAGGCCAGGAGGCAGCGCATGACAGCCTGGTGGGAGATGACCAGGACGTTGCCCTGCCGTTCCAGCTCCATGATGACAGGCTCGAGCCGCTGCACCAGGTCCTGGTATGACTGTGGGGGAAGTGGGCAGGCTGGGAGGAGGCCAGCACAGCTGGCAGGACCCATAGTCAAGAGGCCACTTCTTCCTCATCCCCCGCCGGCTTTCCTCCCGGAGGCTCAGTGACTGTGTCACCGGCTAGCTGCCCCCGGCCCTGCTGCCTTTTGAAAATACTCAGGACTTGTAAGAACAATGCTGACACTGAGAAAACCAAGGTCAAGAAGTCTGAATCCAACCGGTGGTGGTGGCAGTGGCTTACTTTTCCTTCCCACAGGAAGGAAGGAACGAAAGGAACAGGCAGAGTCTAGGGCAAGAGGCTGCTAGCAGTTTCCTGGCCCCCATCATCCTGTTTCATGCACTCCTGCCTTGCACATCCCTATGGTGGGAAACCCCTTAGACCAGGAGGCAAGCTGACCACCAGAGACAACAGGAAATGGTTCACAACCCCATATCCCATGTGCACTTGGTGACCCTACCTGCTTGGAGGGAGGTAGAAATGAAGAGGTAGAATGAAAATAAGTAAAAAGGATTCTACAACATACTCAACCCAGGGGATATCTTGGCACCCTCTGCCCTGGATAGCTTAGTATGACCCAAAGCTTGGAGGATAAATGAGCCCAGATCCTCCGTTCTAATCACCGCCCAATCATTCAATCCTTCTCCCAAACGAGGGCCAAGCCCCAGCACAGGGCTGGGCAGCCACGCCACGCAAGGGCAGTCTCACCTCGCCTCCTGGGTACCGGTACAGATACTTATCTTGATCTCGAAGTGCAAACTCTTCCGGGTACCGCTTCTCAATCTCTGCATAGGTCATTTCCTCGCACACGCCCTGCAAGGAGCCACCGGGTTTGAGGGGTCGACTGATCCGCTCTCGCCCCACGCCAGACAAGGAACATAAGAGGGATGATCACGAGTTTCAGACTGTGTGCCAGGCCCCGCGCTGAGTCCTTCCATGCTTGGCAGCTGACTGTGACCAGGGTGGCAAGGAGTCTGGGATCACGGGGTGAGGGCCCCTGCAGAAAGCAGGCAGCTCCTGTAGCTTAACGTCCCCCTTCTCCTAGCACTGGGGAGGACAAGAAAAGTCAACAAGAGGAACAGAAGGAGGTAGCACGGAAGGAGGGAAACTGAAGGCACTGAACACCTTGCAGGAAGAATAAAGAGGCAGAGAGGAAGGAAGGAAAGAGATGTCTCCTATTACAAGAAAACTGTGAGGAAGGACTTCACCAGAAGAGCTGAGCAAGATATCTAAGCAAAAATTAAAGAACTGGGTAGTTAACTACTTCTTTCTCCCAGGAGGAAAACATATCAAGGAACAAAATGAGCCTGTTCAGCCTCACTCCCCCTAGATGCCAGAGCGATGAGGTTAAACGCTGGCCTGGGTCCCACTGTTGGCACAGGTGCTGAGCAGGCGGGAAGCTCTGATTGGAGGTCCAAGTCCACCTCCTTTCCAACCCCTCAACTGGCCACAGATCCAGATTCTGTGCAGTTTTGATGTGCGGTTCTAGTTTTCTAGTCACTCTGCCCACCGAGTGACTTCTGAGGGTCCCTGTCTCAACAGGTGATTCTTGCTGGCTCCCCTGGCCTTCAGAGCATCCTACTCACAGCATCAATCTCATTCAGGATCTTCCACTGCTCGTAGGTCACCCCGAGAGACTCAGCGGTCTGGATGGTCCTCTTCAACTGGCTTGTCCACACTTTCAGATCTGCTATCTCCTGTTCCTTCAGAAAATTCCTCAGAGCCTGAGCAAACTGGGGTTTGAAAATAAAAATTATGAAAAGAAAGAAGTACACACACACACACACACCACCACCACCACCAACCCCCCCCCCCCCACACACAACTGCTAACTTGGCCTGTAATGTGCAGTGTGGAGAGCCATGGGCCAAATCCGTAAGGTGCAACATAGTTAATATAAACCCAAGAAGAAATGGACTTCAGCGGGAACACCTTGTACTGTGCTAAGAACACAAGTCCTGCTGAATAAGTAATGGCTGAATGATCACAGCAGAAATGGTTCCAAGTCACCCACACTTCAGTACAGACCTAGAGGCAGTGAGCAAGGAAGCATCTTTGGCACTTGCCTGACTGCTTGGAACCACAGCTTAAGCCCAGACGGGACTTAAGAAGGGGATGAAACAGATGACCTCTGCCATGCCCTTCCAGCTCTAAGCCTAGGAAATCCAAATGCCGGCCAACTACTCACCTGCTTTCCCCGCGCCGAGAGGCCGGAGTCACCCCCGATCTTGCCCACGAGATTGAATTCACTCTCCCCGTGCCGGCAAAGGTAGATGGTGCGGGGCTGGACGTGGATGTTCATGAGGTAGTAGACTATCTTGCTCTGGATGTAGTCCTGCACTCTGTTGACCAAAAATCGCTGGCCCACATTTATCACCTTGATGAAAGAGAGGTCTCTGGGACAGGATAGGAAAAAAAAAAAATTCCCAGGCATGCAAATCTAAGAGTAAGAACAGGAGGGGACCTGCAAGCTCTCGGCAGCTCTTCCTCCTCTCCTGTATCCTCCCCACACTGCTAGAACCGAGTGGCAAGAGACGGTGGAAGATGAAGCAGACCTTCCTGTGCTCTCGGTCAGTCTGTACCCTTCCCTCTGTGTAGCACTGTACCACACAAGTAGATAAACACAGTAAACAGAACTCAGCTTCCACTCAAGGGCAAGACTAGACGTCCTGAAGATTGTGCTAAGACCAAGACTTGGTGAGAAGACAGGCTCCACCTGAAGCTGGTAAGACCCGGCTAGAACACGGCACCAGCAACCCGGGGAGAGAGGGAGGCTGCGGAGCCACAGAGACAGCCACGTACTCCTTCCATCCGCCTAATCGAGCCTCTCCCAAAGGCACTCCAGGAACTGTTTGCTTTGTGGCCATCGTGGGATTTTCCTCATTATAAAAACTGTAAGTAGTTAGTCCAAAAAAGAATTCAGGAAACAAACAAAAAATAGGGTAGAATGATGCAAGTCACCCATCACCCTGTTACCAGAGATAACATCTATGAAGACACACTGTCATACATGAAAGCATCCTTCTAGGCTATCTCTCTGTGTGAGACTTTGGGCAACTGAAGAATATACTGCGCGATCATATCCAAGGTAGCAGTTTTCAACCTCTGTATTAAGGGCACACTTCCAAACACTGGCATTCAGGGCAACCCACTTGACGCAGCTAAAGGCTGACCAAGTTCACCCGGCCCGCAGTGATCTAATAGCGTGCCAAGTGCATCTGTCTTGGTGATGGCTTGGCTGCAGGCCCACATCTGTTGACTAGAGCCAGTAACTGCCCTGAACGTCCATGCTTTCAAAAGGCCGGGCTCTCACAGGCTTCCAAGTGCACCATCTTTGTTCAACATGGACTTGACATTTGCTATGGCTCTTGTACCTCCCAATACAGTGCATCTTATCTGAATTCCATACCACACTGTCAACAGACACTTCCATTGGAATGACAGGCAGCATCTATGAGAATTCCTCTGAGTCAGGCATGTTCCCAAGAGCTTTACGTGTAAGACAGATTAGATGATAGATAGAACATGTACATAGAAAGAAAGTATGTAATACTTTGGTGTTCAAGTGTAAGATGCAACCTGCATAAAAGCCACACATCCACACCCAGTTTCTCTGGGATGACGTAAACACTAATAGTCTGGACTAGCAATCAAGGGACAGAGTGAGGAAGGCTCTGCTCCCGGAAGAGACTCTGCCTCAGGCCCTTCAGGTCGTGACCTTAACCCTTACTTGTCATAGTTGTCTGGATCCAGGGGTCGGTAGGTGACTTTGTAGCACTCGATTCTCTTCAGGAAGTCCTCCATCACATTCTCCCTGTTCCTCTCGGGGTAGTCGGGGCTCGACACCTTTACCTCCTGAAAGCACAGGAGCAGCACGAGCCCCGTCACAGGGCTGCGCGCGCAGCTCTGCCACATGCGGCTCCGCTGGAGGAGAAGTCCGACGCCCAGGAAAGCGGCCCTTCTCTGTGGCACTGGCACTCCCCGCCACTGGGAAGCCCGCCCCCATCCTGTGACCCTGGCAAGCAAGAAGGGAAAGACAACTGGGAGTCATGTGCCTGCCCTTGGCTGAAGGACACGGGCAGTCACGCAGCTGAAGCCGCCCCCATCCATCCCTCTACGGACTCTCCTGAAGGTAGAAGAGGCTCCAATTTTTCCCCACTGTTGCTCAGAATAGGGCGTGTAATCCAATGCCTGCCTTGGGACCAGGTACCTTCGCCTCAGATCACCCCAGGTTCCCACAGTGCTGGGACAGCACCTCCAAGAGAACAGCCACAGATGTCCACCTCGTGGCAGGACCCACTGAAGGGGGCCACGGAATGCAGTGACCCCAGAGGGCGTGAAGAGGACAATGCATAGAACACTGACCAGACTACTGGACAACCGCTGGGCAGGTGCTTACTGTGATAGTAACAGATAGTAAACAGATAATAAAGAATATGATCTATCCCAACACCCAAGTCTTAGCACTCAAAGGATATCCAGAACACAAAGCCAGGACACCTACATCTAGGCCTCAGCGTCCACTCAACAGCTAATTCTTACCTGACTCTCAAAGCTCCCATCTCATCTCCCAAGGGAACAGGGAAGCACTCACAGTGCTCTGGCAGACAGAACTCTCTAGTGTCAACCGTGTCAACTTCTCTCGTTCACTACCCAGAGACACAAACCAGACAAGACTCAAAAAAGAAGAGGAGGCGGGACACAGGGCTGTCACTCACCATGATATTGGCAGCGATAACATCAGGATCATCACACACAGATTCCACAAAGAACACCTGGCCATGAAGAGAGGAAGTGATGAGGGAGACAGAAATGGGCCAGGCTACTAATTAAGAGCACGTGCTCACCTATCCCACCCAGCCATTTCGTCTCCCATGATTTTGCTCTTGAGAAAGGACCTAAAAGGAAACGCTCAAGGACTGGAGGTATGCCCCAAGAGAAGGGCCCAGGAATCCAGCCCTGTCCCCACCCACCAGGTCAAACAGATGCATGTCCCCGTCCTGACTCCCCACCTCCACTCCACTTTTCTCCTCCAGCACGGAGTCAGAGCTTACCTTGAAGGAATTCTGCTGTGCGAAGTTCAAAATCAAATCCCTCCTTTCCCGGGTGGTATTGGTGGCATCAAACACCTGGGAAGAAGCAAACAAGGTAACTGAGTGGGGCCTGAGAAACGGAGCCCCATCAGGGAAGACCCAGGGTGGGACTGAGGAGGCAGGCTGCAGACAGGGGGTGCCCACGGAGCAGAGGCGGCTCGGGCTTACCGCAATCTGCCCGTTCTCCTCGGTGAGGTACGCCTTAACATCTTCCAGTGCCACCAGAGCACACTGTCTGTCGAGAGCAGAGGAAATCAGCAAGAAGAGCTACGCTCAACACGGCCACTGACACAAACACGTGGGTTACTGCAGCAGTCACATCCCTTGCTACCCAGGTCCCCGCTGGTCACAATTTTTCTCTCTAGAGCTTTCACCCTTGCCACCGAGGATTCCACGGCACCCAGCATCTTCCTCCTTCCCCCGCCCAGTGCACATACCTTATCCCTCTTTAGGCCTGACCTACAAGCATACATGATGCCCCTGAGCCCTGCTCCACCTCCCCGAGCCCAAGGTCAGCCGCCCACCAGACACTCTCTACTTCAAGTGCTCACAAGACACTGGCTGAGAGGAACAAAGCCCTGCCACTTCCAGGCACACACTGGCCCTGAGGTCAGGCGTTCACAAAGACTCACTTGCGGATCTTCATGGCCTCCTCGTTGTCATGTCGAAAGAAGTCGTAGGACTTGTAGGACTTGACCGCTTTGCGCCGGTACACCCCCAGGTTAAACACTGCAGAGACACCCAAATCCTTTAGGAGCAAAACAACATGATGGCGCCACCATAGGGACTTCCTGGCCTAATGTGGCCAAGGGGATGAAAAAGCACCACGGTGTGCTGGGAACAATCCCAGATTAAGAGGTCAAAAGAGTGGGTTCAGGTCCTGACTCAGCAGACTTTGGACAAGTCTTAAAGTGTCCAGGTTTCAAGTTCTTCAGCCATACTATTTCTATCTGTTTCACAGGGGAACCACTAGGTGTATATAAGTACATGGGAAGGCTTTGAAAAAATAAAGCTCTATATTCATTAATTCTTTTGTTTGTTTTTAAAGATTTATTTTTTCTATTTGAAAGGCAGAGTTACAGAGAGGGAAAGAGAGAGATACTCCATCTGCTGGCTCACTTCCCAAATGGCCACAACGGCTGGGACTGAGCCAGGCCAAACCCAGGAGCCAAGAACTTCTTCCTGGTCCCCCACATGGGTGCAGGAGTCCAAGCACCTTGGCCATCCTCCACTCCATCCCAGGCATACTACTAGCAGGGAGCTGGATTGCAACTGGAGCAACCAGGACTCAAACTGGTGCCTGTATGTGATGCTGGCACTACAGGCAGTGGCCTAACCTGCTACACCACAATGCTGACCCTGTCTCATTAATTCTTAATATTTCTAACAACAGCATTCCCTCAAAATAAAGTCTTTCTCCCCAGGCCAGGAGAGATAATTCTCAAAAAAGTGACTAAAGCCAGTAAATCAGGAAGCGCCCACTCTTTTTGCTGGGAGCACCCCATAACCTTGATGCCAGGGAGTCAAGTCTCCTAGAGGCCGTGGGGATTGAGAACTAATCATTGCCTTTCCCAGGAAAACTTGCACCTACCTTTGGTGGGCACCCCAATCCAGTTGAGGTAGCGTGTTAGTTTCTTGGACACATAGGTCTTCCCCCGGGCTGGCAAACCAATCATCACAATGAGAGTTGGGGAGTTGGTCATGTAGGAGGCCCAGGCTAAAAGGAAACAACAAAACAAGGCCGAACTAAATGACTAGGGGCCTAGTAAGCCTTATGAAATGGGCTAGGGACTTCACGTTCATGTCTCGTTTAATCTCATAAACTCGCAGGGAAAAGCTCCAGGAAGAACAGGAAAGCAAACTGACATCTTGGGCAGACTCTTTGGAAATAGAATTTCAGGGCCATGCAGATTCCTAGAAAGTGTCCAACTAAGCCATGTCTTTCCCACATGTTTGAAGTCTTCAAGGAGGCACCCAAGGTGGAAAGAGGGGTGGGAGTGGCAAGGGTAAGAAAGTAACGAGGATCCCCTCCTTACCAGGAGAACACCTAGTCACGGGACAGTGACACAGCTGTGCAGGAAGGGCTGGCGCCTAAAGATTATGTGCAGAACTGAGCTGGCTCCTACAGCAGGTGCAACAGCGTCCACCTTGGGAATCTCGCCCAGCCCGTCAGTGCCTCAGGTGAGGCCTGGCTTGGCCTCGAGCTATCATGGCCTTGAGCTCCGGCTTAAGCCAGACTTTCTACAGCATAGTTAGAGTCAGGGGGCAAAGCCTACTGGGTACAGGTTCTGAATAGACCCTGGGAAGCCTCTGGTAGACAGCCCACAGGGGCATCAGGGCCAAGTGGCGCAAAAGAAAGACGACGGAGAAGCAGGAAGCCGCTGGTCCGCCCTTGCGCAGTAAGCTAACTTACTTCCGCAAGGCTCACTTGGAGAGGCTCATCGTCCTGGACAAGATGCACTGAGGGCAGGTGGCGTTCCAGAGGACACGCAGAGAGTCAAGGGCAGAGCTGGTGCTGGGATTCAGACTCTGGGCTCCGCGCACAGCTTTTTTCCAGAAAAAGCAGCCCCTCCTGAGCTTACTCACAGGCCCGGCTCCTCCCGCCTCTCGCGACACAGGGCAGAGGACGGAGAGGGCCCGCTCTGCTGCCAGCCCCTTTCCTGGGCCGAGACCCAGCTGAGCTCATCGGGAAGGGCTCAGGCTCTGCCCCTCAGAGAAGTGAGGCCCGGCCCAGGAATGGAACGGAGAGCGAGACCCTCACAGTCCACACCCCAGCACTGCTTTCTAGAAGCTGCCCTGCGGGCTGCCGCTGCTTGTCTACACTGGGATGAGCCGACCCTGGAGGACTAAGGGACAACTGGGTGAAAGGGAGGTGCTCAGACGTGAAATTAACCCTTCATCTCTGGAGGGAGAACTGTAAAAAGGTCTCAGTGGAGAAGCAGAGAGGAGAGTTTCCGAGGGGTGTTGGGCAAGAAGTACTGCATAGCCAGAGTGGCCCCGGCGGTGAGGGACAGGTGGACGTCCAGATGCAGGGCCAGAGGACTTGGCTTTTAGGCTTCTACTCACTGAGCCCCTCCGAGGTAGGTAATGGAGCAACGTAAGTAATGTTCCTCTGTCTAAAATCGTTACTCAGCGGCAAGCAAACACCACCGTGCGGCATCAGCGGTATTCACCCCTGGGTGCTGGCCACGCTGCAGGGGAGCCACTGCGCACGTTTGCGGAGCACAGTCCCCCTGAGTCTTCACTTTCTCCAGCTAGCGCACACGCTCTCCATTCCCCCAGGGTTTGCCTCATTACCTGCGCTTCGTGGCCTGCTCTGTCCACACCTTCCAGCCCATTAGGCACTTCCCCCAAAGGCCCTGCTGCCCTCCCTAACGCTGAAAATGAACCGATACTTGGGAGTTGCCCTGAAGGCAACCAGGGAGCCAGATGCTCTGTGTTTGCCACACGGGGAGGAGCAGGCTAAGAACAACGTAAAACCCCTGACCCCTGGGGACTGCGCCAACGCCCGCCAGCACCACACCCGCTGCCTCTGCCCAGAGCACACCACACACCGGCTGCCACCAGGGCTTCTGGTTTTCTAAAGCACAAAACAAAACCCCACTTCCTATCTGAAACCACCACACTGGCAAGAATAGGAGCAGGCCGTCCTGCCCGTTACAACACAAAACCACCTTGCAGTCTCCCTGCCACCACCAACACCGGCTTAATGTGCACGGAGGACGCTTGGTGCTGACCGATCTCAGAGACTGTGGAATACATTATGCAAAGCTGCTTCAATCCCCAAATCCTCTTGTAGCGTCTTTTCATAAAGTTCAACTCACATCTCAATCCGAAATCTAGGTTCCCTTATCAGACATGCTCAGATGGAATGACAGCCTCGTAACTGCCCCCACAAAAACACAACACCTCAAGCCCTCAGCAGTTGAGCTTTGCCCACAGTAGCAAGTCAAGGTCAGGGCCCTGCCCAAACTCCTGGTCTTGTAACTGCTGGTCCCAGCGGCTGACTCTCGGGCCTCACAGCAGCTCTGCATAGAGGGACTCTCGGGAAGCACAGCTTTGCTGTCTTCCTTATTCCCGAGAGCGGCTCCAGGACAGCAATGGCTCCCAGCCTTCTCCCGGTATTCATTCTAAACAGATCCAACATTTTGAAATATGCGTCCATAAAGCATGTTTCATGATTGACACTTTTATTTATCAAGAATCAGAATAACTGTTAAGTATCTCCTGCCATTTGCCTGTGGGCATGAAATACCCAAATTCATATGACTGCAGCCAAACACTAACTGAGTGGACGCTTTAGTTAACCAGTGCGGCTACGGTTGAGAAATCTCGTTTCCACCAGGTAACCTGAAATACTGCGATACTGGTCAGCACTTCCCAAGTCTACCCTTCCTCCTGCCATGTCTGTAGGAACAGCTGCTGGCACAAACATGCAAAGCGGTATGTGTAAAAGGACATTCACTGCGACTTTCTGTGATGATGAAAACCTGGAAACAGTTTGGTGGGAAGCTGACATACCCATCCACGCTGAATGAAGAAATCTGGATTTCCCAACAAGAAGCAGTTAGTTTTTAAAAACAGGAAATGGCAGAACGATAGGTGCAGCAGGAATCTATGTTCCTTCACAGGATGCCCAGAACCCGACGTCTGCAAGCATCAGGCTTAGCAAACAAAGCAGAGGTCGTAAGAGGTTGTTTTTACTTTTTACCTCCTTTTTTCCCTCTTTCTGAATTGTTCATGGACATGTGTTGCTTTGTATTTAGGGAAATGTGCCTGTAAATAACCTGCCTGCCCCGGATTCACTCAAAATAAATAAAAAGAACAAAAAAGCACGCAGACGCTCCCTGCTCCTGCTTTCAGAGGCCTCTGCACGTCTCAAAGGCACCTCCACCCCACTCCCGGAGCAGCTGACGGCCCAGGAGTGCCCCTGCAGAGCTCTTGGCTCCCCGGGCCCATTCCTCAGCCCTGAAGTCCTCCCGCCCAGGCACTCCCCAGAGTCAGTTAGCCAGCGCAGGTGTAACCAAGCAGCAAAGGGATCCCCGCCAAGCTGCGCAGAGGCAGCTGCTGGGGCGAACGCCAGCAGCCAGGGAGCCTGTTCCAAGGCACATTCTCTGTACAACACATAATGAGGGAAAGCTGGATTTTCCAACACAAAAACAGCCTGCAACAAAGCAAATTAAAAAAAAAAAATTAAAAGGAAATGGCAGAACAGAATATACACACTACGTTACTAAGACAGACCTGAACCAGACATCTAAAGAACCACATTTACATGTCTCTGTGCACGTAAAAGAGCACATGTTCTCCTCGCTGGATCTTCTGTATTTTCTACCAGAGTCTCACAGCCCAGACACGAGATAAGACTGGGGCAAATGAACGAGGTGGCTTTGGGACAAGCGTAGAACAAGCCATCTGGAGAAAGAGGTGGGGTTTGGGAAGGAGAGATCAGAGTCCGGAGCAGAAATCCAAGTCTAGAAGACAGAAAAGAGGCCTGAGATTAGGGCGTCTGTGATAGATGGAAACCCCAAGACAGAAAACTCCAGGAGAGCCAGGCAGGCGGGCGGGCAGCAGAGGGCGGACCCAAGGGTCAGAGTCCCCACAGGGACCGAGTCTGCCCATGCTCTGCCCTCCAACTTCCCGTCCTCTTTTGGGTCCAGCGTCCTAGTAACACGAGATTCCCCTCTGCTGGGGTGCAAGTCTGGTCCCCAAACCTGGGTTAGGGCATTGTCAAACAAGAGGGGAAAACATTCTCTACTGAAAAAATAAGTCTTCACTGGGTGTTTTAAACACTGAACTCCCAGCGCGGCACTTGAGCATCCACATATAATGTTTCAACCATAAATACAAGAAGAAAGCCACCTGTGACAAAGACCACACACCAGCTGTGTGGCCAGCGCCTTCCTAAGCGCTCCCCACACGGCCACATCCAGCCCCCGGGTCACTCCTAGGGCGGACGCCATCGGCATCCTCACTCGTAAGAGGGAGCAGAGGGAGGCACGGGGAGGCGGAGCCATGTGCTGCCAGGAGCAGGTAAAGTCGTCGATCAAACCCAGTCTTGTTCCGGAAGCCTCCGGCGATCCGGGTTCTCGCTCATGGGGCACTTTGCCCTTGGTGCCTGGTGACAATGCAGAGGTGGCCAACCCCAGGATCACAGCCAGAGCAGCTGTTCCTGTCCAGTAGGTCTCATGGGCAGGCGGTAAAGAGAAATCAGCACCATTAATCATGAAACTGACAGACGCATGACGTCAAGGTGGAGGAGCTGGGACCAAGAAACGATCCCCGGCTCCTGCTGGCCAGCTGCTTGCACTTGCTGATACAGAAAACCCCTGAAGCGAGAGGAGCCCACCGACAGGTCTCCACAGGCAAGGTGCCAGCGGGGAGCAGACGCAGCAGCTTCTCCCAGACATCTGGGGACCGGCTTTCCCAGATTTGGGGACGCTACGGAGGCTGCGATGATGCCTGGAAATGCAGGTGTGTGGGGACAGGGAGTGATGCTTCTCCCTCTGCAAGCCCTCCTGCTCCAGCCGACTTTTAAGAAATTAGCATGGACGTGCTCCTGTGAAACCAGTCCTCAGAGCAAGGAACTCACAGGGAGAAAGTAAGGCACCCAAGACGCGGTACGAAGTCGCAGTCAGGGCCCGTTCCTTCCCCTGAGCCTAGGAATGCCGCAAGCAACACTGACCCTCGCCTGAGTGGGGCACTCCCAGACTTGGCCCAACAGACAAAGGGGAGCCGCCAACAGCACCAGCCCCATCCAACGTCTGTGCCTGGTCAATCTGCCTTACTCACCGTGTGCACAATGCTTGCCCCAACTTCGAAGATCAAATGAGTGTGCAGCTCACACACTCCTGGGCTGCCCCAGCCTTCTAGCCCCAAAATCAAACATTTCACTGAAATGACTAGTTTCAGACAGGAAACCGTCCCCTTGGAGATGGCACTTTAGATCCCCAAGTCAAGGAATGATTTTCCAGTCCTACCAAGAAGCAGAGTTGCATTCCCAAGATAACATCCCGGCAGTCGGCCGCCCTTCTCTGTCCCAGAACTCACAACATTTCTTGTCCGACATGCGAAGACCGGCGGTTCGGTTGCTGCCGTGTTCCGAGGGAGACCCAAAGTGCCCGGACATGGTGGCTCTCCGGTAGGCGTCTGGAAGGAGGGGCAGGAAGACGGTCTTCAAAACAGTGCGGAGGGTCAGCTGGGTTGCAGGAAAGAACTCAGGGTCAAGAGTCAAGGCCAGCTCTCTCTCCCGCAGAGAGGAGCTGCCTGTCCTTGGGGAACCATGAGCCTCCTCCGTCTCCTGTTTTCTCACTTACAAAGAGGGTGGTGCTAGAACCCTAGTGTATTGCTGACTTGGGAGTTTACCCTCATAGACACTTTTGTCTCTTTCAATCCTAAGTAGAGCAGATGTTGCTACCATTATTACTTCTCTCCCATTTTACAGATTGAAAAACCGACGTTGTTCGATTTAAGTGGCTTGTCCAAGTTTCTTTACGACATCAGACTCCGGTTTTGAGGATCTAGGGTGGGAAGGCTGGGAACAGATCATTACCAAGAAGGCATTCTCAGGGCTGGCTCTGTGGCACAGCGGGTCAGGCCACAGGCTGGGACTCTCACATCCCAGAGAGCAGTGCTGGGTTCAGTTTCTCTTCAACTTCTGATTCCATTTCCTGCTAATGTGCATCCTGGCAGGCAGCAGGTGACGGCTTAAGCCCTTGGGCCCCTGCCACCCACACAGGAGACCCAGACGGCTGGCTGGCCCAGCCCTGGCTGTTGCTGGCATTTGAGTAGTGAACCAGCAGATGGAAGATCTCTCTCTCTGCCTCTCAAGTACATGAAAATAAACATTTTTAAACAGAAAGTAACTTCAATCCAAAGGTTGATTCAGTACTTTCAAAAACTGAGAAGAGTGGGAAAATTTGAAACACGTTCCCTGGGCGAAAGCTGTCCCTGGACGGCCCTACACATCCCTTCTCCTCTGAGTTCTCACCCTTCTGCCCGGCCCTGCAGCCTCTCCCCGCTTATCCGCTAGGATTCTAAGGGAGGAACACGGGAGGCAAGGGTGGTAAGTGACTTCCCCAAGGTCACCTGCAGAATAAGGGGTAAATCCTGGGGTAGGAAAGCCCAGAGCTCGCTCCCTAACCCAGCTTACACGGGGCCCGCGAGGGCAGAAGGTCCCACCCCTTCAGGGGCCGCGCATTATTCCTCCACGACCACACAAATCGTCCACGCCGAGCCGCAGGTGCGGCTCCCAGGCCCTGGCCGCCCGCACTCCCCGAGACGGAGAGGCATTAACGCCCGGCACCTCATCCGGGTGCGTGCAGCCCCCCGCGGCCCGCCCTCCCAGCCCCTCCCAGGCGCCGGCAGCGGTGGCTCACCCCGCGATCTCTCCGGAGACCCCTGCCGGCTGCCGCCCCGGCGCTGCCCCGTAACTCGGGAGACTGGAGTCGTGGCTGGGGGCCCGGCCCCGAGTCCCCGGCGGGTCACGTGCCCGCTGGCCCCGCCCACCCGCGCGTCGGTCCTCACCTGGAGAGAACCACCGACCAACCGGGCGCCGGCGGATGCAGGGGGCGGGGCTCCAGGCGGAACCGCGGACCCTGGCCCCGAGGAAGGGCGAGACCAGCTCCGCAGTCTCCCGGCTCCCGGGCGGGCTGCATCGTTGCTTGGTAACCAACAGGGCTGGGGGCGGGGCCCACAGAAAGCCTGACTGTTCTGTAAAAACTCTCGCGAGACTGAACCGCGCCAGCCGGCGTCCGCAGAGGTTAACGCTTTCATCCCTGAGTCCCAGGCGGACTGCGTGGGATCCGCACACCCGAGCGAAAGCTCTAAGAGGCGCCGGGAGTCGGCGTCCACCGTGCTCTTGAGGGTCGCGCCCCGAGTGTTCGCGTGCCGCTCCCCGTGGGTCAGGCCGTGTACCCTAACGAGGGACCGGGGGCTTCCCGGACCCAGCCACGCGCCCGGCTGGACTTCACCCACCGTCCCGCCCCCGCCCCGCCCCGCCCACGCGACAGCATCTGTGACGGTCGTGTTGAAGGCCCGAGGCGCTCCACGGCACCGGCAGGGGCCTGGGTGGGAAAGGTGTTTGCAGAGAGCAGGGGCTCCTCGTGGCCACTCGGAGGCGGCGGCGCTGGCGGTGAGTTTGCACGTCCCAGGGGCCTGCCCTCGTCCCGCTGATGCTGGAGGCTGTAGAGGAGGAGCCCTGCCGCTCTGGGTCCGGGCTGGATAAAGAGCAGTGCAAATGCACTTCTTGGGCTAGAGCTCAATCCCGGGGCGTCTCTACCCCCCCCCCCACCCGGGAGCGAAGACATTCTCCCAAACAGCTCGAACGTGTAGCTATCTCCCCTTTCGGCGAGTGGCAGCGGCCCTCCCCGTGCCCCTGCGCTGTACGCCAGGCACAGCCCTGGGTTTTAGGCCTACAGCGTGGGGAAGGGCCACCTGACCCCGCACTGTCTCCTCGCCGTGACACCCAGCGGCGCCGCGGCTCCCACCGCGAGTCTCTCCGCGCCACCGCCGGCACCGAAGGCGGGGACGCGGCCGACTCGGGGTCTGTCCGCCCGGGAACTGCAGAGGAAGCTCGGGCCCCTCGCTCCTCCTCACACTGCGCCCCCCAGGCTGGGGCCGGCCGCCTGCTGCCGCCGGGGTGGGAGGGTCGGGCTTCCGGCCCCTCAGCCCCGGCGCGGGCGGCCACGAGCCTCCGATGGCGTCTGACAGCCCCGCTGACTCACTGGCCATTCCTAGCATTCCGAGCCGTGTCGGGCGGAGGCCCCGGCCGGCCTAATCACTGGCCGCCGACATTCCACCCGACTCCCTCCGGGAACTGCTTTCCCGCCCTCTTCCCGCGCGCTGTCCTTATAAGCCGCCGGCGCGGAGCGCGGCGAGGCCAGGGATGCTTTAGGGATACGGGGCGCATCCTCGTCCCTGCAACACCAGCGACCACTTTAAGGGAGTTCGCTCTCCTCCAAGGGCCGAGGCGGAAAGTGTCGCGAGAACTGTAGCCCGCGCCGACTTCTCGCGATGTTTGGCCCCGCGAAGGGTGGCCATTTTGGAGTCCACCCGGCGGCCGGTTGCCCCGGCGGCGTCTCGCCTCCTGCGGCCGCCACCAAGGCTGGCCCCGCGGGTGTCTGGCCTGTGGGCGGCCAGTCCGACACGATGTGGCGGCTGCGCTGCAAGGCCAAGGATGGCACCCATGTTTTGCAGGGGCTGTCCAGCCGAACCCGGGTGCGAGAACTCCAGGGCCAAATTGCCGCCATCACCGGGATCGCCCCCGGCGGTCAGCGAATCCTCGTCGGCTTTCCGCCCGAGTGCCTGGATCTCAGCGACGGGGACACCGTTCTGGGGGACTTGCCCATCCAATCAGGTAAGGGATCGGAGCTGGGACCAGCGGGAAGGCCTGAGGGGCGCGCGCGGGGACGGAGACCCAGGCAAGGCAGGTGGCTGGGGGCGCTGACGGAGGCCGGGCCAAGTGTCCGGCAGCTCCGTGCCTTTACACAGGGCTGGAAGAGAAGCCCAGAGCCCAGGAGTTCGCCCTCCCCAGCCTGCCTTCTGTGCTTCCCTGAAGCTAGCTCAGCCTTGTTTTCCCCGTGCATCCGCAAAAGTTGGAAAAGGTAGGGCCTGCCTCTCGGTCCCGAGCGCTCGTTCCCGGCGTCGCTCGTTGGCCAGCCGGTCTGAAGGGTCCGGGGTTATTCCTTTGGCTTTCCTGGTTCGTTTTTGCAGTCTCCCGCGTTGAATAGTTAAGTTTAACAGGTGCACGCCTCGTAGAGTTAGCTTGTAAACATCCACGGAGAGCTCTTTCAAGTCCTAACCGACAGTAATTATTTGTGTCCAGTGTTAAAACTTGAACATCAACGTTGTAATTAAAAGCTTTTTGTTCTTGGATCCGGGACCTTGTAAACACAAGCGGGGCGAGAGAGGCCAAGTTTCAGGAGGGCGAGAGCCCCCTAGCGGCCGGTCTAGGGAAAACACCCTCCGGACGAAGGCTTCGCAGGCAATTTTGTTTTAAATGTATCTTTTTAAGGAAGTGTGGCAGTGTAGGCCTCCGGCTTCGCTTGCTTGGGGTGCAGCTTGAAGTCTGTTCTGTTTTCACCTTTGTGAACAGTCGGGGTCAGGTGTTTCTAGTGTTCCTAGGGGCAGCAGTGTTCTCCATCGTAACCCCAGCTTCTATTTGTAATTTACAGACTTGGCTAATCTCATCTGTCATTTCTCTGCAGTTCTGGATCTGTTTTATTTTTAACAGGCGATATGCTGATCGTTGAAGAAGACCAAACCAGGCCCAAAGCTTCACCTGCATTCTCAAAACACGGTGCTCCTAGCTATGTCAGGGAAACCTTGCCTGTGCTTTCCAGGACTGTGGTCCCAGCAGACAACTCCTGCCTCTTCACCAGCGTGTACTATGTGGTTGAAGGAGGCGTCCTGGATCCAGCTTGCGCCCCTGAGATGAGACGCCTCATAGCACAGATCGTAGCGAGCGATCCAGACTTCTACAGTGAGGCCATACTGGGAAAAACAAATCAAGAGTACTGTGACTGGATCAAAAGGGATGATACTTGGGGAGGAGCGATTGAAATCTCCATCTTGTCTAAATTTTACCAGTGTGAAATCTGTGTAGTGGATACACAGACGGTAAGAATCGATCGCTTCGGGGAAGACGCGGGGTATACCAAAAGGGTCCTGCTGATTTACGATGGCATCCACTACGACCCGCTGCAGCGAGACTTCCCGGATCCAGACACGCCGCCTCTGACCATCTTCTCCTCGAACGATGACATTGTCCTTGTACAAGCACTGGAACTAGCAGATGAAGCTAGAAGAAAGAGACAGTTTACCGACGTCAACCGCTTCACCCTGCGATGCATGGTGTGTCAGAAGGGGCTGACTGGACAGGCAGAGGCAAGAGAGCATGCCAAGGAGACAGGCCACACCAACTTTGGAGAAGTGTGATCTATGCATGATGAGGGTGGAAGCCTACTACCTCACAGATCCAGAAGGCTCTGGGTTTTCCAATAAGCTATTCCTGACCCTAAAGAACAAAGGACACAATGCTTGAACCACACCTTGAACTTGAAACCACTAAGACACTGAAATTCCTTGTTAAGATTAAAATTAGTGTGCAAGTTTACAGATGTGTGTCTACAGTGGTGATGCCTGCCCTCTTTCCACGGGGGTGACAGAACAGGTGGCCCCCCACCTGCTGGAGATTGAGTTTCAGTATTATAAACTAGCACGCAGCAGCTTTCACCTGTAGAAGAAGAGAACGCCACATTTCGAGTAATGTTGACAGCCTCTCATGAGGCCCCGGACGTGTACCAGTGTCTCCAGTAATTGAGTCCTTTTAACAACTGAGTGAGTTAATAGTTTCTAAATTATGAATTGATTTATCAAACGAAGATACTCAGAATTGTCAAAACTGATTTTATATTGCCATTTGGTAGACTTTATCAGTGTGTACTTAACCACTTCTGAGTACGTAACAAGCAATCTTTACAGGGATGAGTGCGTTCCTAGAGAATGTCGCTGACAGCAGGAGCGCCTGTGTCCTGCTGCGGATTTCTGGTGTGTGAAGTAGAATGTATGAGGAAAAGGTGCCTGAAGCAGCTCCCTGCGGCTTCCAAGGACGTCAGCCTCGTGTGTCAATGCACTTCCTGTGCTGGTCTTTGTCACGTTGGGTACAATTTTAAAATTAAGCAGGGTAATTTTTTTTTAATCAAAGTTCCTTGAAATTCCAGTATTTGATTTTTGCTTTCTTTACATGAAAATTTGGAGGGATGTAATTTTCTCAGCTTTTTGTTACGAGCACTTCCTCCAAAAAACATCTTCATCCAAAGTGAGAATGCTATGCTTCGGCTTGTGTTTTACAAGACTTTGCATACCTGAACAGTGTTTGGTGTTGTGCCAGCCCTGTCCCTCCACTAACACTCTTGAATAATTCCATATTTCTGCAAATTAGCACTTTGCTTAATCTGTGATCTCGTACTTTGAAACATTTTCAAAGTAATTGAGATAATGCTGTTAAATGAATTTGTTTCTCTTCCAAAACATGAAAGTTTTAAAACCCTTGCCTTATTCAGCTTTCTCTGACTTCTGCTTCTTCCTAGTTACGTAGATGTGCAGCCATTTGCTTGGCGGCCCGGTCCGCGAGGCATGCCCTCTGACACGTGGCTGCACTACGAGATCTTCCACATAAGATTTTCTACCTCTTTTCTTAATTCCTATGAAGATCAGGGATGCTAAGTTAGAGTTTGTTATGTATTATCTCACACCATGTGAAGAAGCTTAATGTTGTGAAGTTAGTTTTGATGAAGTATCTCTTAGGAAACCTATGGTATACTCTAAAGCACTTAATATCTCTTCAGCATATAGTCTCAGCAGATGTTTTTAGAATTGAGTTTTACTTTTAGCATTTACACTCGGTGAAAGTGACCGTGTAGAATTAAGGACCATGTGAACAATTTAGGGGAAAATACTTGAAGGAACAATTCACAACGAAGATTCAAATCATGAAATGAGGTTGCTGGAGTACCTCTTGAGTGCATATCTGTTTTAGGTATTATAAGTTATTATGGTCAATATAACTAAAAAGTGTTTCATTTTCTATTTTCTGAGCCTTAAAAATAGCGCTTGTGAGCTTACAATAATGTTTGGCAATCATGTTACATGTGAATGAATATGGTTGAAGATCTGTCCCTATCATCTGGTCTAGATGATTTTTGTATGATTTTTATTTTCCTCAAAAAAAGATGAAATTTAAAAATGTAATTTATGAATATGCCACCAGGTGACATTTATCTGATTGAGCTTTCTGCATCGTTATTCATTAAGCTGTCTTCCCTTTCTTTGCCGTTTCAGGAGCTACATTTGATATTTGCTTACTGAAATTTTAGACCTAGAAGTTTGTTCATGCAACAAATATTTATTGAGTATTTTATCATGTTGCAGGCATGGTTTGATATGTTTCCCAACATAAATTTCTCACTTTAAAATAAATATTACCTACAATGGATTGATTCAACAAGTACAAAGGAAAGAAATGGAGCAAGGATATTCGACAGCAGTGACAGCCCCTACCCCCAACCCCCGCCCAGGGTCTTAAGAGTTTTGATCACATATTGTTAAGTATTCTTTTGGGGAATCTTTCTTTGTCTGGGTCAACTAGGTTGTCCAGTCACCAGGTGAACCCTGATAGGTCACTTTAAAAAAATGACTTTTTAAATTATTTACTGAAATTGGTCGTTGGTACTGTAATAATGTTCTAATCATGGAAAATTCAAGATGAAGCGTGGTGTGCAGCCTGTGTGATTGATTATTGAGAACTTTAAAACTTCTGCTCACGCTGCACTGAAGCTGTGGTCCTGGCAGGATTTAGAGTCTTTTTACTATGCTTATTAAACTCTCAGAGTTAGAGATTAAAGTGGATACATTCCCACCTCGAGGATTTTTGGAAGTCTATGGATTTAATACCTGAAGTGGGGTTAAAGAACCTTTGTTTAAAGTTTGTGTTGGAGCAGCATGAAACCCTTCCTATTCCTTCAGTTTTTGGGTGCCATACCAAAAGAAAAAAAAAATTTCCTTAATTAAAATGGACCATTTTCAGTAGTGGAAGAAACAGATAGAAACTGTTCCCCGCACCACAACCTGTCTTCCATTCTCTTATCTTTGAATTCAGACTTAGATTTATTGTCATGAAAGTGCATTCCTAGACAGATTGCAGGTCAAATTCGTGTCCCTGTGGGGGCCTCGTGATGTGATAGCCATGTGAAGACAGCAGTATGTTGTGCGTCTCGTGCTAATGGTTCATCGTTGATTTCTTGTTCACCGTGAGAGAGAAGTGGGTGTAGTCAGATGGCGGTACCCTGGAAGCTTGGCTGCTGGTCAGCTGGTCTGTTGTTAAGAATTAATGTAGTCATGCCACTTGATTTCCATGAAGTTCAAGACCCAGCAGAATCATAAACAGGAATTAACATTGCATTATCTGTGAGTTTATGCCCCTAAGTGCCCATGCCAAACTTGCTTATCTAGCTTATTCCTTCGGGGTGTTGCAAGTTGCTCTAGCTAAACATAGTTTTGTGTGTCTTGAAAAAATTAGAATGGAGGAGTATGTAATACTAAGCAACAGAGTGGCTTTTGTTTTTTTATTTTTTGTTTTTGATAAATCAGGTGGCCTTCCTAAATTCACGTATTTTAACATTTACATTCTTTCATCTGTTGACACACATTGATTATTTGCAGCACTTTAAAAACTATGAAATAAAAGTTTACATGCTAGCCCTCTCTAGGGATCTTGTTGATGACATGATACAATCTTGAGCTGTTGGCCATGAGCTCTTACTAATCCACCTTCGTCATCTGTGGAGGTATACCGAGTGGAACATTCAACATTCTAATGTTTTGATAACCACAGAACTCATTTTCAGTAACTCTTAGCATGATCTGTGTCCTAACACTAAAATGTTAATGACTACAGTGTGATTGTCCATTATCATTCATTGTGTGGTGCAGTATTCAAATTTGTCCTCTGCACAAAGATGACAACTTCTAAAAGATTAGATTTTTAAGCTTCTTAGTTTGTTTCTAAGCAAATTTACTTTAAGGAACCTAATTTTTGATTCAGGCCTTGAAAGTCATATTCAAGTAACATCATTGTGAAGTCTAAAGTAAAATACTTGATTTGATTTGAATAAGCTAAATTTATTAAAGATGTTTTCTTATTAAGCATTATATTTCACATTTAATCAATGTAAAAAGAATGTGAAACTTCCCTGATTGTGGGAAAGTGTTCTGTTTTTCTTCTCCAAAAAGTAGCTAGCATTTTATTGACAGTGCTTTGAATATGTGACTGAGAAAAATTGTTACGTTGATACTGAATTGTGAGATCATGATTTCAGTCCTGATTCATATGCATTTAAAGGATGCTGAGAACCCTCCCCTGGTATTTCAGAGTGAAGGGTGAAAGCAGAAGAATAGAATGCCATTTAAAAAAGGAGACATTGTCCAGAGATTGTTCCTAGTCATGAATTAGGCTTTCAAGCAATGCCTTTCTGTCACCTTAACCCTTTCACCTCCATTTTTGGGCACAGAATGTAGCAGGGCCATAGGTGTAAAAGTTTGCCATTAAAGTATAAAACCATAAATATAAGCATTTTGCCATGATACCCTTGATACTTAGATTTTCAAAAGTACCTACATGTAGGAGTTTAGGTATAGTGAAGATATGCCTTGATCAAATTGTAGGTAAGCAGAAGTGTTTAGAATTTCTACTAAGATTAGATGAGTTTGACTTTTTAACAGAAATAGGATAGGTAGTTTAATTATAGCCCATAAGTTACTTAAAGGACCAGGGGACCTAATTCTTGTCATTTTCCAGTTTTAATTGGTGCCATTCAAGACTCCAGCTGTTTACAGGAAATAATATACTTAGCAAAGTAGGTTTTTTCCTTTAAAATTTTTGAATTCAGCTTAAAATACAGAGTCTGCAGAGCTTGTCCAGTGAGATAGAGAATCACAACTGTCCCGTAGCTGCTGTATTGACATGGTCAAGGCAGGGGCTCCCGGAGCCGGAGGAAAACCACACAAAGAGACCATCAACTAGATCGAGAGCTGTAGAACGACTCAGAAAAGCGGTAGGGAGGGAAAAATTAACAAGGTTGTTTCTCTTGGCCTAAAAAATATATTTTTATTAACAGAAAATTGACAGTGTTTTCTTATTTAAAAAAAAAGTGTTCTTTTGTCTATTTGCCAGCATTTTTTCAAAGTTAATGCACTGCTGCTACCTGGAAGATGTCTAATTTCATTTTGTGCAACTATTATGTAATTTTGCTATTGTCATGAAGATGCATTGATTTTATTTATAAGGTGTATGATTTTAAATACCTAAACGCTGTATGAAATGACTTGTTTTAAAGGAATAAATCAAATGAATACATTGTTGTTTGAGCATATTTTGTGTTCTGGGCAGAGGGCCAGTGGACAACTACTACACTCAAGTTATCTGTAATCAAAATAAATGCCAAAATCTGCCAAATCTTGCCCTTAATGAATTAGAAGCTAAAGGTTTTCTTTCTTTTTTGAAATTTGTTTGAGAACTTCCATCCACTGGTTCACTCTCCAAATGCCTGCAACAGCAGGGGCTGAGCTGGGCCTTGCAAAGCCAGGAGCCAGGAACTCAACCCAGGTCTTCCACGTGGCTGGCGGGGATCCAGTCACCTGAGCCGTCGCCACTTCCTTCCCAGGCTCTGCATTCGCAGGAAGGAGTGAGGAGCCAGGCTTGGGTATTGAACCCAGGCACCGCGAGCAGCAGCATGACACCTCGGCCAAACACACCATCCTGCCTCCTTTTAACACCAGAGCGCACTGGAAATCTCTCGTTGAGACGGTTTTTCTAAATCGGTCCCCGAAAGTGAGCTTTCAGTGTCTGTTGCTGAACAATTGGCCAAGTGGAAAGGCTGAGTGTTCCTGTTTATGATAAATTTGTGTGAACTTAGATCTGTTTGAAAGTAGCAACATTCCTGAGGTTTATTTAATCTTTGTCGATGTCAACATTTAAACATTTATTTGAAACAACACTGTTTATTAGGATTAATTAAACTACTATTTTCTTTCTCATTGAAAGCTTAAAGATTATGGTAGTATAACCATAATACTGCTGTCAGTTTGTGCACCAGGACAAACAATCAATCCAACATAAGGCTTATAAAGAGTACCGTGAGCTTGTGACAGGATCCTGTTGAATAATTAACAAGGCCCATAATGCAATGCGTCTTGCAGTTGGTCATCGCATTACCCGAGGACATGTTAGAAGTGCAAATTTTCACAAATCAGAAGTGCAGACAGCCAGCCATCAGTGTTAGCAAGCCCTCCAGATGATTCTGATACATGACAGGGTTTGAGAAGCACACTTTTCACCACATTAGCTTGGAGAGCTGTCTGATGACTTATATCAGTCTTGTATCCTTGGCTCATGCAATTCATTTCCATCTGCCTACTTAGAGATAGTTAATGAATTGATAATGGAAGTCCAGGAAAGACTAGTACAGTGACAATTCAAAAAGCATGTTCAAAAACCTTGACATTGAATGCCCATAAATGTAAAGTCTAAAACAATCCAAGTCCAGCGTGAAGAAAAGCTGCCTTTCAAGCTGACTTGATGAAGATGGAGCAATACTACTTAATTCTGATCCCACCAGGGTGACATGGCGTGGATTGCGAAGATTGGAAACTGAAGCCACAGTGTTAGAGGGTTTGTGTGTGGATTTTACAGTTAAAACAGTATGTGAAGCAGGGTAGATGACTGAAACCTGGAACGAGACGAGCTTGCAGATCGACATGTAGACACCTCAAATCTGGGGAAATGTGTGAGAAGACTTCACTCTGTTGGCAGAGCCCATGCTCACGGACTGCCAGGGTGCAGCTCTCAGGCTGTGATCTGCAGTGCGTGTGGGTCACTGGGGTCCATCCGTTGGTGGACCCGGACTGTGACTGCCGTCCCGTTGTTCTGTTTCGCTGTCAGAAGCACAGGTCAAGCATCTCAGCCACCCGTTCTGAAAGGCGGCCCCTGGTGCTGGGCGCAGCACACCAGGCCTGGGTTGTCATCCTGATCCCGGCCTGGGAGTTCTGCAAATCCTTCACTTGCTTTTTGGCTACCTTCAATAGCGGGAGGGATCTTCTCAGTTACCCAGTCCAACATCACTGGAAATGGAAGACCTCAGCAACACATTGTTTTTAAGAATCAAAGGAGTGGGGCGGCGCTGTGGCGTGTAGGTTAATTCTCCGCCATCCCATATGGACACAGGTTCAAGTCCCGGCTGCTCTTCTGATCCAGCTCTCTGCTATGACCTGGGAAAGCAGTAGAAGATGGTCCAAGCACTTGGGCTCCTGCAACCCATGTGGAAGACCCAAAAGAAGCTCCTGGCTCCTGGCTTCAGATGGGCCCAGCTCCAGCAGTTGCAGCCATTTGGGGAGTGAACCAGTGGAAACCTTTCTGTCTCTCCCTCTCACTGTAACTCTACCTCACAAGTAATAAAAATCTTAAAAAGAAGCAGCTACCATAAAATTTGTAAAAGCATATTGGAAACTGAAATATCAAGTTTGAAATTATTGTTAACAGTTTTTCCATTAAGAATAGAGGACATGAGTGGTTAGTAAGAATTGCCAGAACTTACATAGAACTATCCAAAAGGAAAAGGTACTTTTTCAAGTAACCATGAAAATTTCCTGCACAATTCATTTCTATCCTGCTAGAAATTTATATTGAATTAAACAGAAATGTGTCCTTTATCATGGAGTAAGAATCATTTTTTAGAGCGTGCTATATGGGCTGTTTCACGGAGTTGTCTGTCCTAAACATGGACAGAACTTTTTAGCTAGTAAATTCCCAAGCCTGCTACTATGACGTAACAGCTTTGCCTTGGGGTTGATAAATCTCTCTCAGTGAATTACTTCCCCCAGAGTTTGAGTAGTACTAGGAAGTAAACTGTTCAAGTCTTTTAAACATAAAAGTTAAGCAACACTTTGAATTGTGATAGCTAACTTAGCTGATTAGAAAAAAGCTGAATTCTAACTCAGCAATCCTGTTGACTCCATGGAGCACCCTCTTCCCAAAAGAAGTTCCAGAATTGGTGATGTTAGCATTTCTTGAAACCAAAGTAGAAAAAGAAATACCTTTTTTAGCTCTTGAAATGGAAATCCAAAGTCTTTTGGCCAGAATAAAAGTAGACATTTGAATAAAGACTTGAAGACTCTTTAAACATGCAACACACATGAACTTCATCATCATCATCACCATCATCTTTGAAATGTCAGAATACTCGGTACAAGGAGAAGGGCCTGCAATTTAGAATCAGAAATGCTTTGAGCTTTCCAACAACACAAGAAACTATCAGATGGGGCCGGCGCTGTGGTGCAGCAGGTTAACGTCCTGGCCTGAAGCGCTGGCATCCTATATGGGCGCTAGCTGGTTTGAGTTCCGGCTGCTCCATTTCCAATCCAGCTCTCTGCTATGGCCTGGGGAAGCAGTAGAAGATGGCCCAAGTCCTTGGGCCCTTGCACCCGCGTGGGAGACCCGGAAGAAGCTCCTGGCTCCTGGCTTCAGATCAGCACAGCTCTGGCCGTTGCGGCCAAGTGGGGAGTGAACCATCAAATGGAAGATCTCTCTCTCTCTCTGCCTCTCCCCTCTCTGTGTAACTCTGACTTGCAAATAAATAAATAAATCTTTAAAAAAAAAAAAAAAAGAAACTATTGGACAACCTAAAATAACATGCCCAGGCACACTATAGTCTAGTCATGACTAGAATGATTTCAGACATTGAAGATCCCACACTGCCTTGTCAGGAAACCACTGGAGAATGTGTTGTGCCAAAGGAATAGGCTAGCAACAAAGAGGAAGGTTTGAGAGCCAGGGACTCCAGAAAAAGAAAGAGGTAGAAGGACTTTCCTCAGTAGTATGATGAAGACAGATATGAAAATGAAAGTCATAAAGCAACCCATAGAACAACTTTTCCAGATGGAAGCAGGTCAGAATTCTCTGGGATAATATAAATAACAATATATTAATATTATATTAGTAGTATTATATTAATGCATATTATTAATGTGAACGTGAATGAAGATACCAATATTTCTTCAGGATGTCATTGATAGAATACTAATGTGTTAGCAGGGGATTTACATAACAGATGGGAATAAAAGCAAGGTAAGAGTAACCGCTTTGCAAAGCTCAGTTGTCAATAGCATTTAGAGACCCATAGTGGAAATGCTCAGTATAGGAGGGGGTCTTTAAGAAGTTCATGATAGCCGGCGCCGTGGCTCAATAGGCTAATCCTCCACCTTGCGGCGCCGGCAAACCGGGTTCTAGTCCCGGTTGGGGCGCCGGATTCTGTCCCGGTTGCCCCTCTTCCAGGCCAGCTCTCTGCTATGGCCAGGGAGTGCAGTGGAGGATGGCCCAGGTGCTTGGGCCCTGCACCCCATGGGAGACCAGGAAAAAGCACCTGGCTCCTGGCTCCTGCCAGGATCAGCGCGGTGCGCCGGCTGCAGTGGCGGCCATTGGAGGGTGAACCAGCGGCAAAAGGAAGACCTTTCTCTCTCTGTCTCTCTCTCTCACTGTCCACTCTGCCTGTCAAAGAAAAATAATAATAAAATAATAAAAAAAAAAAAAAAAAGTTCATGAGAAAAACTGTTCATGGACTTCAAACTTTTTGCTCCAAAATAAACTTATCTTTTAATTCCATTTTTTTAAAGAATTGTTTTATTTATTTGAAAGAGTTACACAGAGATAGAAGGAGAGGCAGAGAGAGAGAGAGATCTTCCATTCTGCTGGTTCACTCCCCAAATGACCGCAACAGCCAGAGCTGAGCTGATCTGAAGCCAGGAGCCAGGAGCTTCTTCCAGCTCTCCCACGCGGATGCAGGGGCCCAAGGAGTCAGGCCATCTTCTGCTTTCCCAGGCCACAGCAGAGAGCTGGATTGGAACAGGAACAGCTGGGACTAGAACCGGTGCCCATATGGGATGCCAGCACTGCAGGCGGCGGCTTTAACCCGCTGTGCCACAGCTCCGGCCCCTTTTAATTCCATTTTTCCACAAATGTTTTGCTATACCCTGTACTTTCTTGTTGGTTATAATTAGTTGTATTGTCTATTGAATATATAATCTTCATGATCGTACATTAGAAAGTTTGTGGAAAGGTGGAATTAAGAGATAAATATTTTGGGGGCCGGCGCTGTGGCGTAGTGGGTAAAGCCACTGCCTGCAGCGCTGGCATCTCATGTGAGTGCCAGTTCGAGTCCTGGCTGCTCCACTTCTGATCCAGCGCTCTGCTATGGCCTGGGAAAGCAGTGGAAGATGGCCCAAGTCCTTGGGCCCCTGCACCTGTGTGGGAGATCAAGGAAGAAACTCCTGGTTCCTGGCTTCAGATTGGCACAGCTCCGGCTA